ATTTATTATCCTAAAATATTCTATGCTCGATTTCAATAGGTAGATGGCAAGTCCTACCAAAGACTAGCCTGTAGGGTGACATCTTGAGTGAAGTTTTATATGCAGTTCTATATGCCTATAACACATCTTCTAAACATTACTTCAATCATTCTTATATGATCTTATTATTTTCTCTAGAATTTCTTTGATCTCTCTGTTGGAAATCTTTGTTTGTCTGTTTGTTTGCAGATGATATGATGTTGAGACCTTATGAAAAATGTCATACTTGCAAAAAAAAACTGAAATAGTTTTGTTGCAAAAATATCTGCCTTGATCACTTACGATTTCCTTAGGCATCATTAAGCAAGTGAAAATGGAAGACTTTAGAAAGTTCGCAACAACCTTGACATTGTTTGTTTGGATGACATTTTCTTCCACCCACTTTGACATATAATCGACTGCAAGAATGACATACTGAAAACCATATGGGAGTGGAAATGGGAAGATAAAATTCATACCACATATTTTGAATATCTCAGCAAACAATATTGGTGTTAGAGGCATTTGATTCCTAGCATAAATTCCTCGTACCTTTTGACATTTATCGTGTATTTTGCAAAATTTATAAGCATCCCTTTAACAATGTAGTCCAATAAAATTTACCATCAAGTTCTTTCTTTGTAGTCCGTTGGGGGACAAAGTAATCTCCATATTCCGATGAATGAAAAAATTTTAGAATAGACTCATACTCATCTTCTTCGACATAACGTCGAATAACTTGGTTCACACATCATTTCTATGGCTTGGGATCATCCCAAATACAGTATTTTGCATCATTTTTCAGTTTGTCACTCTTTGCATTTGTCCAATCTTCTAGGAATTCATTAGTGGCCAAATAATTCACTAAATCGGTATACCAAAGTGAAAATAAGACATTGCAAGTAATTGCTCATCCAAAAAATACTCCCTTAAACATAGTTTATCCTGAATTTGTGGGAAAATAATTTAAATATCCAGCTACCGAAATTTCACTTCTCTTTTTGTCTCAGATCTCTATATCAAATTCTTATAGGAGTAAAATTCATTGTATAAGATTAGACTTGTTTTCTTTCTTCGTCATTAGGTATCTTAAAGCTGCATGATTAGAATATAGAATCACTTTAGTACCTAAAAAGTAAGATCCAAATTCTTTTAACTAAAAAAACAACAATTGGGAGTGTTTTTTTAGTAGTGGAGTAATTCAACTGGCTCTATTGAGTACTTTTGATATATATTAAATTGCTTATGGATTTTTTTCACTTTGTTTCCCAAACATAACTTCTATTGTTTTGTCGTTTGCATCACGGATAATATTGAATGGTAAATTCCAATTTGATGGTTGAATGATGGATGATGATGTCAAAAGCTCTTTAATCTTGTCAAACGCTCTTTGACAGTTTCCATAAAACTCAAATTGAACATCTTTCTGCAACAATTGGAAAAGAGGGACAGTCACCTTTGAAAAATTTTCTATGAACTGACAATAAAATCTTTCATAATCTAAGAATAAACGCAAGCCCCTCAACAAAATGAGGTTGGGTGACCTGTCGCGCGGTCAATCAAATATTTCACCTAATCCGTTATCACTATTTAATGTAATATAGGGGAATGGATCCTCTCCACAGGGATTGTGTGATTCACTCTTTCGTGTTCTAATGCAGTAAATAAAGGGAGAATTTTATTTTATTATCTAATGAAAATAAAATAACAAAACAATTAAATTAAGGGAGAACTGACTATCAAGGGGATGTCTCGCTCAAGTGATGATGCAGTTATGGCACTTGTGTTTTATTATTAATTCAATAAAATTAATTATTATTAAAGTATCAATAAATTGGTTATAGTTGTCAACAAGCTCTGACAACCAATTTTTCCTTACAGTGTAGGTAATTAAGGTACGACCGTTAACTACCCTTAATTAAGCAAATAAACCTAGGTGCACCCATAAGAATATTGCCTAACCGCATTGTAATCTAGAAAAACCCAATTCAATACAATTACTACCTAGGAGGAGCAATTAGATTTGATTGTCTAACCCCCGTGAAGGAACTATTCAACCCGGTTGTCACCTATTCAAGTGCGAATACAATTACAGATATCCTACCTGAATTGACTTTAGATTATCAGACTAATTTAAATATCGGTACCAAAATATTCATTCAATCTAACAATCACAAACGCTATTCTCAGAATTAGACAAATATTGATAATAAAAAGAACTTTTATAAAGAAAATCAAGAATCTCCAAAACAAAAGAACCAAAACATTATCACCCCTCAAAACAGAAAAGTATCTACTCCATAATTAAATAACAAAGAATAAAAGAGAAAGATGAAGTCATAGTGGGAGGCAGAAATCTTCTCTGTTGATTTGCTCCTGCGTGATCTATGAATCTGTCAGTCTCCTGCTCCTGTGCGTTTCTGCCCTTGCCGTTCTCTCTTGCCAAATAGGCATGTCTTTTCTTCTTATTTGATTTTTGCCCTAATTATTTTGTAGATGGGCTTTTGGGCCTTTAATTAATTTTATTTCCTTTTTTATGCCAATTATGCCAAATTTAATATTTGCCCTCTGCACACGGCAAATAAACAATTCGCATATAAATTAGGTAGAATCCAATTAAAATCACTCAAATATCGCATATGATATGAATATAAAACGCATGCGATTTCTAACTATCAATTCTCCCCACACCTAGATCATGCTTGCCCTCAAGCATAAATTCGAAATAAGCCAAAGAAATCGCAGGCAACTCGATATGACAAGAGGATCCAACACAACCAATTCAATCCGAATTTTAACACATCAAGTCAAGTCAACCTCACAAGATAAAGTGTATTCTCACATGCTCTCTGAAGGCATTAAGTGTATAATTGGCTCAACACTCAGGTAGTGCAACAAAAGATTATTCTATAGGTTTGAGTAAAAATCAAATCTCCCTTGCTTAAAATATTCGAATCTAGCATAAAGAATCAAAGGGACTTTCAATAAGGGTTGTAACGGGGCTTATGCTCAGGGTAGGAAAAAGGATATACAAGGGCTAAAATATGTCAGAAAAGAACACAATAAGAACACGATGCTAGCACATGAAGAACAAATCGGCATAAACAATGAAATCCTTACTCTATTCACTACCCAAACTTTAATAATGAAATTAAATGAAAATACTTTATTAAGATAATTATTTATTTATTTATTTTTGTATTATTTATTTTTGTTTCTTTTTTTTGTTTCTTTTTCGTTTTTTTATTTTTTATTTCTTGTTTTTTTTATTTTTTGATTTTTGATTTTTTTTTATTGGGCTTTTGCCTATATATATATACCTACACTACCCACAGTTATTCCTTCATACTATGACTTATTTGTACCCAAAGTTCGTTTCTAACTAGTGCCGAAGAAATAAAGTGCATCACAACATGGACTTAAAGTAGTTCTTTCTAACATAGGGTTCAAATCGGAGAAGGTTCAATCGAAAGAAGGGTATGAGGGTAAAAAACAGTTTATTATAAAAGAAAAAATAGGCTAAGAAGGCTCAAATGGGCTAACTAGGGGAATATATTGTGCTGGGTAATAAAGAAAGGCTTAATGGGTTACCTAATGCCCTTATCATTTTCAAAATGCAAGACTCGATAGTTGCAAGTTCAACATGCATAATCACTCAAGTTCTAGGTCATCTAATTGAGCACTACAAATCACACATGAAAGAAATTTCCAAAAGCTTGAATATGTGCAATTTATTTTCTATTATAACTTTTGGAACATAAGCTCAAATCTCACAGGGTTCAAACGTCGACCTAACTCAACATATCATCAATCAAATGTCATTAGTCATGCCAAACTAACCTATCACACAAATTACCTTTGACTCACTTCAGACAAATCTCAAAAACATGCGAAAAGACAGCAAATCAGGCATAAAAATAGCACAAAATGAAAATTTTGCCCAAAAATTTGCATAACTCTCCCCACACCTAAAGTATGCATTGTCCTCAATGTAAATAAAGCAATAAAAGAAGAGAGGAACTTCCCTGGAGTCGATAGGGGGTGTAGTAGTTGGGAGCTTTGTTAACACCTCTTCATTTGATCGTGATTTTTAGGGAGGCTTGAAGTTATCCTGAGTCCTGCGAAAACAACTAACCAACGCAAGCCATTTAGAGGAGCGGATGTGGTGATCGGCGATGACTGAGCAGGGGAGGAAGAAGTCGACGGCGCCGGAGGTTGGAAGCGGTGACTAAACCAAACAAAACTATCAAAAGTATTATTAGCAATTAAATAATAAAAATAAATAAAATTAAAGAAAGCAATTAAATGATTTGGGTTGTATCCCAAAAAGCGCTTTTCTTTATAGTCTTTGAGCTAGACTTCGCCTCGCATCAATTCTGAACATCAAAATCGGCAACGGGTGCCGACTTTATAGGATCAAGTGAGGGTCTCTCGTGGTATAATTTGAAGCGATGTCTATTGGCCACACACTTTTTCTTCGGCTTAGAATTTTGATTCTCTTTATGACATTTTTTTGCTGCCAGCAATGGTGATCCCTTGGGAATCCATCTCCACTTTTCGACAATTTTTTTTCTTTTCTTACTCTCTCAAGTTGGTTTTTTCTCTAACTGTTTTGTTAACACAGTTCTTCGTTTATTCTCATTACCAACTTCACGAGTTTCCTGCACTACAGAATTAATAAAATTAATTGCATATAACGATTCAGATTCAACATGACATTTGACGGGATTAAAAATATTGAAATGAAATTCTTCTCCATCAAATTCCAAGCTGAGTGTGCCCTTTTTAACATCTATCTTTGTTCCTGCAGTGCACATAAAAGGTCTTCCTAACAAAAGAGGCGGTGGATTAGAGCAGTGCGCATTATGCATATCCAGAATATAAAAATCAACAGGAAAAATCAATTCATTCACTTGAACTAGTACATCTTCTATCATACCATCAGGATAAGCATTGGTTCGATCAACAAGTTGAATAATAATTCATGTTTCTTTTAGAGGCCCTAGATTTAAAGAGTCGTATATTGATCGAGGCATGACATCAATATCAGCTCCTAGATCTAGCATAGCCTTAGTTATCTCAATTTTTTCAATCTTACAAGGGATAGAAAACATACCTGGATCACCTGTTTTAGGTGGTACCTTTCTTTTGAGAACAACAGAAACGTTCTCACCCGCTATAATATGCTCGTCCCCTCGCAATTTCCTTTTGTTAATACACAGTTCTTTCAAAAACTTTGCGTACTTGGGGATTTGGTTGATAGCTTCCAGGAGCGGGATATTAAGTTCCACCTTCTTGAATATTTCCATCATCTCTTTTCGTTTGTTTGCCTTTTGTGTTTTCTTCAACCTGTCAGGAAAAAGAGCTGATTTAGTTTCAGTAGGAGGAACAGAGTCAGGAAGAACCTTTTCGTGAAGTTCAGCTTCCTTTTCAATCTCCATCTCAATCTGATCTTCATTCTGTCCCTTCGAGATAGGAGGTGGACCTTTCAATTCCTTTCCGCTACGAAGGGTTATAGCACTCGTATTCTTTGTATTAGGCCGGGAGGAACATTCAATCATCGTATCACTGCAGATAGTGATGGTGCTGACATTTGCTGGATTTGGCTCAGGCTGAGCAGACCACTTTCCTCTTTCATGTAGTTGTCTCACGTCCTCTGACACTTGATTGATCTGACCTTGTAACTTGTCGACAGTTGACTTCATCTCTTGCTGGAATTGCAAGGTACTGGCAGCCATAGACTTCACCAAGTCTTCCAAAGATGGACTGAAGTTGCTTGTAGGTGCTTGGGGCGGCTGCTTCTCATAGAAACGAGGTTGTTGCATCTGCTGCATAGCTCCAAATGGTTGATGAGCATTACCCTGCTGTGCGTTTCCATAACGCAGGTTCGGATGATCTCTCCAGCTTGGATTGTAGGTGTTGGAGTATGGATTGTACGCTGGAGGTCTATTCATACCGTAGTTTGCAGTGTTCACATCCACTGCACATTCTTCTTGGAGGGTCGGACATGCATCTGTAGAGTGTCCTGCACCCGTGCATATTCCACACGCCTTGACCTGGACACTCGGGTTGGATTTTTCCACGACCATCTTGCGAACAAAGCTTGTCAACTCAGAAAGTTGTTGTTGCATCGATTGGATGGCATGGTCGTTGTTGTTTCCGTTCATATGTCCAACATCTCTTGAACCAAATTGTTGCGTGTTTTCAGCCATCCTCGCAATAAGATCCCAAGCTTGTGCCGGCGTCTTATTTACTAAAGCTCCACCACTTGCAGCATCGATAATGTTCCTGTCCATCAACGACAAACCATCATAAAAGTATTGAATCAATAGTTGAAGGGGAATTTGATGTTGTGGACATTTAATGATAAGCTTATTAAATTGCTCCCAATATTCATGGAGCGTTTCACCTGATTATTGTTTGATGCCACATATCTCCTTCCTCAGGATCGCAGCTCTGGAAGCTGGAAAGTACTTCTCCAAAAATTTCTTTTTCATGTCGTTCCACGTGTCAATGCTTCTAGGTGGGAGATAGTAGAGCCAATCCTTTGCAGCATCTTTAAGTGAGAATGGGAAGGCTCTGAGTTTGATATGTTCATCAGTAACACCTGGTGGTTTCATGCTGGAGCACACCACGTCAAACTCTTGCAAGTGTTTGTGAGGTTCTTCACTTGCAAGTCCATGAAAAGAAGGCAGTAAATAGATTAAGCCAGATTTCAGTTCAAAAGCAGTAATGTTATTCAGAGTTGGAAAGTTAATGCATAAGGGCTGCTGCGCCAAGTTAGGAGCATCCAACTCCCTTAGAGTGCGGGTATCCTCAGCCATGACAGTCTCTTGATCACTTTTAGAGTCGCTAGAGCTAGAGATTTTGAGGTGGTTTAAAGATTCTGCCAGCTTCGCAACCTGAACAGCTTTTCGTTGCTTGGCTTCCTTTCGTAGCTTTCGCTCAACCTTCTCGATCTCAAGATTAAATATCAGTTCACCTGTATGAGAAGAACGGGGCATAAACAAGAGGATAAATTAAAATAACACAAAAGAGTAAAACAAAGCGCCAATCCCCGGCAACGGCGCCAAAAATTGACCTGTCGCGCGGTCAATCAAATATTTCACCTAATCCGTTATCACAATTTAATGTAATATAGGGGAAAGGGATCGTCTCCACAGGGATTGTGTGATTTACTCTTTCGTGTTCTAATGCAGTAAATAAAAGGAGAATTTTATTTTATTATCTAATGAAAATAAAATAACAAAACAATTAAATTAAGGGAGAACTGACTATCAAGGGGATGTCTGGCTCAAGGGATGATGCAGTTATGGCACTTGTGTTTTATCATTAATTCAATAAAATTAATTATTATTAAAGTATCAATAAATTGGTTATAGTTGTCAACAAGCTCTGACAACCAATTTTTCCTTACAGTGTAGGTAATTAAGGTACGACTGTTAACTACCCCTAATTAAGAAAATAAACCTAGGTGCGCCCATAAGAATATTGCCTAACCACATTGTAATCTAGAAAAACCCAATTCAAAACAATTATTACCTAGGAGGAGCAATTAGATTTGATTGTCTAACCCCCGGGAAGGAACTATTCAACCCGGTTGTCACCTATTCAAGTGCGAATACAATTACGGATATCCTACCTGAATTGACTTTAGATTATCATACTAATTTAAATATCGGTACCAAAATATTCAATCAATCTAACAATCACAAACGCTATTCTCAGAATTAGACAAATATTGATAATAAAAAAGAACTTTTATAAAGAAAATCAAGAATCTCCAAAACAAAAGAACCAAAACATTATCACCCCTCAAATAATAAAAGTATCTACTCCATAATTAAATAACAAAGAATAAAAGAGAAAGATGAAGTCATAGTGAGAGGCAGAAATCTTCTCTGTTGATTTGCTCCTGCGCGATCTATGAATCTGTCAGTCTCATGCTCCTGTGCGTTTCTGCCCTAGCCGTTCTCTCTTGCCAAATAGACGTGTCTTTTCTTCTTATTTGATTTTTGCCCTAATTATTTTGTAGATGAGCTTTTGGGCCTTTAATTAATTTTATTTCCTTTTTTCTGTCAATTATGCCAAATTTAATATTTGTCCTCTGCACACGGCAAATAAACAATTCGCATATAAATTAGGTAGAATCCAATTAAAATCACTCAAATATCGCATATGATATGAATATAAAACGCATGCGATTTCTAACTATCATTGGGTATGCGTGGTGGTAGCCTTTGTTGTCTTATCAAGAATTGATTAGTTTTCATTAAAAAAATTGAGTTTTTTCTAGTAAAATATAAGTAATATTTTTTCAAGTTTGGAAAAGACTAATAGAAAATCAAATAAGTAAACATATAATTTTTTTATAATAAATATTGGTCTTGAGTTTTGAACTAAATGGTTAAATTTTTTATTTTCTAAGTATGATATAGTCAAATATAAGACCGTTTTATATACATTCCAACAAAATAAAACGGCGGAACGGATAAATAAGATTTTTCTCAAAAAAGTAAGTAACATCTTGGTCACTTTATCCTTTCAAAGAGTTTTTTTAAGAGAAACCGTTAAACTGGTTGCATACTTACATAATATATCTACTTCAGTGTCATTAAATTGTAAGTTTCTCAAATTTTTATAATTGAAAAAAATAATAATTTTTTTCAATTTAAAAGTGTTGGATTGTGCTGCATTCACTTTGTATAAATATATCACATTTATAGTAACAAGGAGTTTAAAACCCATGCATATATTTAAAAGCCTATATCCCATTTTACTAACTAGTTAAATGCAATGTGTGATAAAATATAATTGTTGTTGTAATTTTAGCATATCTTTTGTATAACTTATGATGTGTTTATATGTTTAAAATATAATTTATTACGTGGGTCTAATATGAAATTGTAAGATAGAATGTATATAGGGAATGACTTAAGTGTACCTCGATCAATCTGAAATTTTTTTCAATTTAAAAATACAGTTCAATACAATTTTGAAATTTAAATTCAGAACTACAATAACTATGTCTTTTCAATCTGTATTTCTATAAATACATCTTTTCAAAATCGTACATGTTATGAATGAGTGTATAAATACATAGATTAATCTGGATTGAAAAAATACAAAAAATATAATACAAAACAGAAGGAAAGATAGTTATCCTACGTAACACATCCCTCGATATTTACATACTTCCATCATAATTCTTTTGTTCATCTATTTTCTTGATTTTAGGAAATAAAATCAAGATTCAAATCTTGTGTATAGTTAACTATATTTCCTGGGAATTGAAATTGGGAACAAGTGAGATTGGGGGAGAATTATGTGTGAGATCTATTTAGCTTTGTGCTTGTCAGTTTGTTTTTTTTTTTTTTTTTTTTAACACACGCATTCACTTACACCTCCAGCAGAAATTTCATCCAACACATGCGCACACGCACCCACTCAGGATCGATGTCAGTTTATGTTTCTTCTTTATGATAGAATATTTTGTAAGTATATATATATATATATTTTTAAAAATGCAAAGTTGTAATAATAAAAATTCTGGATTTGTACGTGAAAGAAACACACCTAACCGATATTCTATTTTAATTACTCCCTCCGTCCCATAATAAGGTATCAATTTACCTTTTGCGTCATTGTACTTAATGTTAAAAATATTTTTATATTTGTATAATTTTTTATACAAATGTCATTATATTAGTATTATAAGACACTAATAGAAATATTTTTGCAATTTTTCCTTGATTTGTAATACGTTTTGATACAATAATTAATATCCAAAGATCAACATGAAAAAAAAATGAATACTTAGTTATGGGACGGAGGGAATATTTTGAATCTATTTGATTTAGTAATCTACTAATTCTCTTTGTCAGATACATTGATTGCAGGAAGTCGATAGACAATCTGACGATTCTATCAAAACACAATAATTTAGAAGATAATAATCATAATTGAAAGCATATTACCACCTTGAGTCCAACCGATAACTAAAGACAACCTAAATGATTTTGGTGATGTATGATTGGTGCATTGCTTATTTAAATTAAAGGTGTATTTCCAATAAGTGATTACGGTGAATAATATTATTTTATCTACGGTGATTATATTTATTTATATATTTACTTTGAAAAGATTAAAACTTATTCTTATTTTTTAATCCATTATTATACTAATTTTTATTACGTCTCTTCACTCAATATTTTTAAAATAAATTGATTTTTTGTATAATATGAAAAACGTAATATAAAAAATAATATTTTATATATGTTGAATAATTGACTCTTTACGAGTGAATAATATATTTATTATATTAATATGTGTGTATATTTGTATTTTTTTAATAATATCTATGAAAAATTGTTTCCTTTGTATATGAACAAATTGAATATCTTATATATGAAACAATTAAAATAATTCATAAATCATACTTTCTCTGTCCTATAATAAAATATCCATTTTTCCATTTTAGTCCGTCCCATAACAAAGTATTCATTTCCTTTTAAAGTAATACTATCTACCTAACATTACAAATACCCTTACACCTTACAACTTACAATATATTACACAAATGTCATTACTTTTATATCACAAGGTTATTTTAGTCGTTTTTATTTTATTCCTACTATATCCCAATATAATACTAATATTTTTAAAATTACGTGAAAAAACAAATGAATACTTCTTTTTGGGACGAAGGGAATATATGATTAAATAAGATAATTATATTTATTTATATTGAAAATTATTGTTATTTTGCATGTGTGTTGTCAACTGCTCAGCCACAGATAGTAGTAGATTAGTATATAATGTGAAAGGCAGCCTGAGTGCATTCATTCCGTTCTCACCTCGATCACACGTGGAGGAGCAGCAACTCACCATTATTGTAAGATCGAGTGACAGAGAGTGATTGGATCGGAATATATATATATATACCATATGTACAGTCCTCCAGCACCACCACTTACCCACCCAACAAGACATGCACCAACCCAACCCAACCACACCACTATCTTCATTATCTCCACCAATCCCAATTTAGACATTTGCTGCAATAATCATTCATATTATAGAGATAGATAGACAAAACCAAGAACCTGCTAGAACCCCACCCAAACTCATCACCTTCGTCCTATAAATAAGAACCTAAGAAAGGGAGAAGTTAATTGAATATACATACAATTTATATATATATATAGAGAGAGAGAGAGGGGGGGGGGGAGAGCAATTAATTAATTAAGAAGGGGGAGATAGAAAATAATATAATTAGGGTTTTTGTGTGAGGTGGATTTGAAAATGTTGCAATGCAAGTTTGTTATTACCGGAACTTTGTTGGTGATGATGCTGTTTCTAGAAACTTCTTTTGGGGCTAGGCCCCTGGGGAAGCACATACCTGCAGGTTCGGAGCTTGGTTCGGGATACGTGCCTAATGGAGCCTCTGATGATCAGTACTACGGAATTAGCGGCGGCGGTGGCGGCGGCGGTGGTGGGGGAGGGGGAGGGTCTGGAGGCAATGGTTCTGGGTATGGGTCAGGGTACGGGTCTGGTTCCGGGTACGGCTCAGGGAACGGGTCCAGTGGAGGTGGCGGCGGCGGCGGCGGCAAAGGAGGTGGCGGCGGGGGTGGTGGAGGTAACAATGGTTCAGGTTACGGAAGCGGCAGCGGCTCAGGGTATGGAAGTGGAGGTGGCAGTTCCGGAGGAGGAGGTGGTGGTGGTGGTGAAGGAGGCGGTGGAGGCGGCGGCGGTGGGGATGGGTACAGCGGAGGATCGGGGTACGGAAGCGGGTCGGGTTATGGGTCAGGGTATGGTTCTGGATACGGCGGCGGCCGTGGTTGATGGGTTGAACGTAGTTTGAAACTTTTCTTGCATGCAATAATATACATATATATTTAAATATAAAATATATATAATCGGGTATTAGGAATTCTTGTACAATGAAATTGTCGGACTTGTATAATATCCGAAATGATTAACTAAAAATAATTAAAAATAAATTTGCATGTTTCATAACTTTCAAACAAAGAATGTCTCACTTTATTTACCAAATTTGGGCAACTTTACTATTTATTTAATTTCATATCTATGTATTCGTTTCTATTATATTGGAATATAGTAGAAATAAAATATAAATAATTAAAATAACATTATTAGTATTGTATGATATAAAAGTAATAAAATTTGTGTAATATATTATAAATTATAAGGTATTTATAATATCAAAAAATAGATAGTAAGATTACTTTTAAAAAAAAATAGATATTTTGTGCAACTGCGATGCAATACGAGAGTAAAAATAAACTAAAATTTATTATTATAATATAATAATAAGAAAAACAATTCATTATGTACAGAATTTCTTTTAAGTCCCCGCCATGATACATGGGTGTTAGATAATATATATATTTTTTTTTTTATTAAAATTGCACTAATTTGTTTTATCCGTTAAATTTATACATATAATTTATTTATTCATTATGTTATTATTTTTACTTTTAATATATAATAATTATTTTGTCACTAATGCATATTTTATTTATTCACTTAATTTTATCATGTCCTATTTTTTTTATTAATTACCTCTACAATATTCATTTCAATTGACGTCGGGTTCTTTTTTTTTTTTTTTTTTTTTTTTCCAATTTTCTTTATTTGGACCAACCTTAGCTTGATATTCTTTAGGGCTCCATTGTTGCTTCATGTTATCTCAAATTTTGATCTTGCCGACACAAATCTACCAAAAAAAAAGTAGAGACAGATGTTTTGGTATTGATTATGGACACATCCTAAAACAACTACTTCTTTAGTCCATATAGGGTGTGTTTGTTTGGGGGTTTGGATTTTGAGTTGGGATTTGAATAGTAAAAATTTTGAATTTGAATAGTTGTATGATGTGATATAAATAAGGTTTGATGCGATGTTTTGAATGTAAAATTGATTTTTAGTATAATATAAAAAATGAAAAATAGGTGTTTGATTTGATGTTTTTGGGGGGAAAAAATTGGATGAATAGTGGAAATCTATCAAAATCCTTCAAACAAACACACCCATAATTTATTTATATTTTCTATTTCGATTTGTCTTACATAATTTATCCCTTCTTTTTAAAAAAATATAATTATACATTTTGAGTGCGTTTACTTTGATGGATTGTATTATAATATCTAATTATTTCAATGGATTATATAATCAATGACGTTTACTTTGCGTGATTAAATATTAGATAAAATTATATTATGTTTAGTTTGTTTGATTATATGGTGTAATTATTTTCTTATCCAAAATATCCTGAATAATGTTATTATAAATTATTGTAATATAATTTATTTTATATTTTTTTCTTTCTAATTATAGCAATATAATATTAAAAATATTAAAATTTGATTGAGTTATTGTCATAATATGTATATATAATTTGATATAATTTTATTATTTATTAAATATATTTAATTTTGTTCTCAAACTTATAAATCAAGTTTTAGTAGCATATTTTATAGCGCTCTTATCACTTTATATTATTGATTAAATTTTTTTTAAAAAAATATATAACTTACATTTTAAATGAAATCAAAATATATTAAACAAAAAATATTGTTACTATAAGTATGTAAAATGTTTATAAGTGTTTAAAGAGAATGATAATGTAATAAGTAGGAGTAAATAATACTAGGGGATTATATTGTATTAATAATCTTATAAATTAGTATAATTGTAACGAGTCTTTAATTATACAGGGTTCTAATACATTAAAGTAAATATGAGATTATGTCAGATTTTAAATAATATAATTCACCTTAATCTCATGTAGTAAACACATCCTTTAATCACATTTTAAATTTTACTTCATAATTTATAATTTTATAAATTTTAATTAAAATATTTAGTTATCTTAATCTATAATTATTTTTATTAATATATTTTTTCATTATTTACTAATTATACTTTACCTAAATTCTTATATTTACAGTAATGCGAACATATTATTCGGGAGGGAGGGATTACAAGATAATAAGGAAGTTATTATTCAATTAACTTTTGCTAATATGTGTAAAATACTTAAAATGATACACAAGAATTATTTTACCGTGAAAAAATAAATTTTAAGTATTGTTCTTTGTATATTAAAATTTCAAAGTGATCTAATCAATAAAGAAAAAAAAAATTATGGGTAGATTGTAAAAGTGCAAAAGAGATTCTACATAAAAACGATCAAAATCTTGCATCTAAACAATTTTTTTTGCATGATGGCAAAGAATAATTAGTATTTTTTACATTAATATTGAATATATAAAAAGTGAAACAAACCATATTCTTCAATTTTTAACTCGAGAATTCTTACAAAACATGTCTGATGAGAATCAACTCATGCCAACAAAAATCAAATATGAAATATAACTACTATATCATATATATATATATATATATACTCAAACTTCATTAGCATTTTGAACCGTTGAAATCTTGGATGTTTTTTAATTGAACTCAAGGAAGAATGACTTTTATATTTCTCCGTAAGTCACACTTGTACTCATTTGCTACTATAGCGTAGAGCCCCTTGTATAGGTCAAGTCAAGTGTTTGGGAATTGGATTTTAAATACACTATTCATTCTATTTTGTTCTTTAAAAATATCAAATCAAACATCTATTTTTTATTTTTTATATTATGCTAAAAATAAATTTTACATTCAAAACATCACATCAACACCTATTTATATCACATCATACAACTATTCAAATTCAAAATTTTTATTATTCAAATTCCAACTCAAAATTCAAAGCCCCAAACAAACACACCCAAATATTATTTTGCAAATTCCGAAAGGACTTTGTCCATTAGAAAATTATATAATGTCTGAAAGTTAGTGGCAGTCTTGTGAATGATTATGCTATATTTGATAAGCGAATGTGTTAGAAAATATATACATATGTATGTATAAAATATATGTATATGTATATATAAGGATATGTATAATTGTTACTCCCTAATTTTCAAGTTCGATAAGGTGCGACGGTCCAATCCGGTGGATCAGCCCATACGACCACAAAAAAGTCCAGTCCAATCGATCCGATTCAAAATGTTTTGATGTGTTTAAGAAAACATAAGAGAGAGTTGAGAGGTTGAGAACAAAGTGGGTGAATTGAGAAGTTGAGAAAGACTTGAAGAACAAGATAAATAATGGGTAAAGTTGTGATATAAAAGGGAGAAGAACGGACAACAAAAAAGAGGACACATTCGTATCAACAAGTGCAACAATAATTAACCTTTTTTTTTTCCTTACTCCTGCATAATTCAACATTCTTTTTTTTTTTTTTCCCTTTTTTAGCATCTTTTCTTTGTTACTCCTACACAATTTATTATTTTCATTATCAAGTTTGATTCCTACTTTCTTGTTAGTTTCTTACTTTTGAATTTCAAAATGCAAGTTTGTCTAATTAATCATTTTTCTTTATTTTGTTCTTTAATTCTTGTTGCGTTCAAGTATTCAATTCATTTCAATTTCTTCCATTAATATCTTTATGGTTCTTCTTCTTCTTTACGATCCAGCACCATAATTTATATATATTTGTCGTCGATTTATTTTTCACGCGAGACTTAGCCCGGATACTTTCTTGAGTAGGCAGGGGAATTAAATTATTGTCGATTTCGACTGGCCCAAATTTATTGGGCCATCATCAACAAATTTCAGCGACAACAGATTGGCACACCCAGTGGGACTCCGACGAGTCTCGCACTTTTTATGAACAGAGGAGTCGCAAATTACCATCGCCGGAGAAATTTACGATCTCAATGGAAGAGAAAATTGCCGGTGAAACTTCAGTCCCACGCATCTCCGAAGAGTCCCATGCATCTCTGGAGAGTTCTTTGCAGCTCCGGGAGGCGTGGACAGGATGATTACGATCCCTACAAGGTTCTGCAAGATCATATTCGTGGAGAAATCTGATCTGCCCTCCACAACTTAGTATTGAAGTTCTCTCGGTATTTTTCCGACATTTTCAAGCCCACCATCCGAAATGAAATTACGTGGGTGAGAGAGGAGAAGCTACGCAAGGGAAAAGCATCAGTGACCAGCCTCGGAAATGATGAAAATGCTCCTCCAATGAACGCAGCACCTGGAGATACGTCTGGACAGCCCCCAACATCACTCCAGTATGATAGCATAATCATATTGAGCAAAGAAAATGAAAACAATAACCCCCGGATAAGACAATAGTTGAAGGACTTTGGCGGTCCTCGGGGCAAGCCATCGTAAGGCCGTCGCCACACCAGGGACATCCGAGGAGCAGCAGGTATGCGCTGCCCACGTCTCAATGGCACAATAATTCTATATTCAACGGAAAAAACATGCCAATATCACCTGCCGGCTAAGTAACATCTCTGCCGGATGAGGAGCTGCCGATCCTTGGAGGGCATGACTGACAACGGCTTCAACACTTTCGGTCATTCTCAAACCTCCGGAATCGCTTGGGGAGCAACTGCACCACCTCCGAGTGTACCCTAGGGGCAGTCCCGCCTTCTCCGGGACCCTGGGGGTCAGCCCTTCCGGATGTCGCAATGGGGTAAGGATCAAACGTACCAACTTTATCGGCACCGCCTCCGCATGAGGGGCAAGGAGCATACTACAGGATAAATTTTTCTGAGGCATCCGAGCAGTTACAGGATTATGGATCTCCAAATCATGAGGTTACAATACCATTCGGGAACTTTCCGGCTTTGGTGGCGCCACAGATGACTTGGGGGGCAGCTCTGATTCCTCCAGAAGCACCACCAGTCTCACGGATGAATTGGGGGCAGCTCCGACTTCTCGGGAGCACCACCAGCTCCGCGGATGACTCAGGAGGCACCTCTGGCAGCACATCCAACGTTGATAGCGCCACAAACAACCTGGGAGGTATATCCGGTGGCACTTCCAGCTCTAGACACTACCCGGAGGACAATCCCACCACCTCCAGCAGCATTCCAGCTCCAGGCGATGTGCGGATGACAGCCCTGCCACATCCGGAAGCACTTTCAACTCCGGACTCTACCTGGAGGACAATCCTGCCACTTTCGGCGGCATTTTCAGCTCTAGACACTGTCCGAGGATAGCCCTGCCACCTCCAGAAGCACTTTCAGCTCCGGATATTACCCGGATGACAGTTCTACCACCTCTGGAAGTGCATCCAGCTCCAAAAATTACTCGGGAAGCAGACCCGACGATGACGACACCTCCGAAGGCGATAAGGGATATAGATTTGCCACCCCTGCTACCTCTGAAAGAATTACCAGTGCTGAAAAGGGCCTGGAAAGATCCGCTGGCTCCGAAAGGGTCAACTCTATCAAATCCGGACAGAACGGCCCCAGATCCGGACATAACAGCCCCAGGTCCGAGCAGACTAGCAGCAGCCCCCTTGCAGCCCGGAGGACGCGCAGAAATACCCTCACCGCCGCGGCCGATTACCGATCCGCAGGTGATCGAAGAAGCAGTCCAAAGAATATACGGCGACCCATTTAGCTGCCTACAAGGCTGTATTATCAACGGCCATTCTCGGATCAGATCACCGTCAACTATCCTCTCCCTTAGAATGCTCGGACCCTGGAGTTTATTCTTTTTTCATGGGAGGACTTGCACTCAGCGATTGAGCATATCAATCGGTTCACGGCACAATGCAGAGGGGAATTCGGAGAAAACGAGTGGTACAAACTCCAACTATTTCCGTTATCCCTCACCGGACCGGCCTTCACATGGTATGCATCTCTCCATCCTAATTCATTTTTTACATGGGAAGACCTAAAAAGAGCATTTCACGAGCGGTTTTATAGCCTACTTCCGGAAGTGACGGTATCTGACTTAACTAACCTACGACAAAAGCATGATGAGGCAGTATAAAGTTTTTTGGAAAGGTTTCGCAAAGACGGCCAAGGCGGAATAGCTCTTCCGGGATGTCAGTGGCAAACATCATTCACCGCATGCGAAGAAAGGCAATATCGATATCAAGAATAGATCTAATCGGACTCCCGTGACCATCCAAATGTCTCATGCGCCGATCAATGCCATTAAAGTATGTCCAATGAAACCTCACGCATCAGTAGCAAAGGCCGACGGAAACCGGATGAACCATAGCGACACGTTTGCAGAAATCCATTTTTAGAAAAATAGAAAGACATGGAGGGTGGCCTCGGTGGACCGAGTGATGATAACCTTTCATCCGACGCGGCATTATGAGCAGCGCCCCAAGAGATGAGCGTCGGACATGCGATCGGAGAAAGAAGAAGACAGGAGCACAAAGACTGAGGAAACAACATCGGCGCCGGACAACTAGTTCCGGTTAAAAGAAGATGTGACGCAGCCCAAGTAACTAAACTATACTAACCGAAACTTAAAACTAAATTCAAATAAAAAAAACTAAGTAAAAAAAAGATATTACCGGTGTCCGATTCGTCAATCGATCGGATGTGAACCCAAGCGTTGCCTAGACCCAACACCTCTAAACCAATGGAGACTCGAACGATTTGGCTAGAAACTCCGGTCGGTTTCGGAAGCCACGAACCCAAGGAATCAACCCAAGGACCCGATTTGAGAATGATATACGTATGCAAGGGTAACCCTCGCTCACACACTAATTCCAATATAATGGAATAAAAAGAAACTTCAATTGATATAATTTTCAAGGTGTCTAACAAGTGAAGCCAAGTGTTTTATTTTTAGGGGAGGCTAGCTTGGCAAAAGGACTCTACAACCAATGTGGGACAAAATTATATATTATTTATATCCCACTAATTAAGTAAATAAGAGATGTCCAATTAATTAGATTAAAGGGGCCCACTTTACTAAATAAAATAAAACACTTCTTATCCCACATGGGTAATGATGTGAGTAAAAACTCCATGGGTGTTATAAATTGGGGTCTTCAAGGGTGGATGCACTTCAATGTTGACAACACTCTTCCCATTGGCCTCCATGCTTCAACTTTGTGCATGGTTTCCTCTTCCAAGTGTAGAACTAATGCCATAATATTAGTTTGAAACTTCTTGGTACGGTTTCGAGTAATCGGACCTAGTGGTAGTGCATGTTCATCGTCTTTTTTGACGACCTCGTCAAGATGGGATAACAAGGAAGTGAGCTCTGAGCAAGCCATACACGGACGGATTAGAATAAAAATATGTCGGAAAAGAGTAGTTTACGATGTCCGCGTCGAATCCGACAAGAGTGGAGGCCAAAACGAGTGCGGAGATGATGATGAACCTATGATTAGACCTCTCGAAGATGATGAAATTTCAGAGGCCAACATCAACATAATAGAGCAAGCCCTACAGTACGAAGATGACTTCAAGGTCGAGGTGGTTGAATTTTTACCGAAATCAAAAAGCTTTAATCCCAACCGTTGTAATTCCCTTCGAGTCTGACCCTGAGATTACCCGGACCAGCCCTCTGCCGCTGTCGGATGAGGTCATATAAAGTTTGAATTGTACCGCGAAATCTCATACAAAAATATTGGACTTCAAAGTTTTACAAACTATTTGTCCAAATACGTTTGTGAGGAGCATTTGTTACTCCCTAATTTTTAAGTCTGATAAGGATTGACGGCCCAGCTCGGAGGATCAGCTCATGTGGCCCATGAAGAAGTCTAGTCTGACCGATTCGATCCAAGATGTTTTGATGTGTTCAAGGAAACATAAGAGGGAGTTGAAAAGTTGAGAACGAGTGGGTGAGTTGAGAAGTTGAGAAAGACTTGAGAAACAAGATAAATAATTGATGAAATTGTGATATAAAAAGGAGAAGACCAAACCACAAAAAAGATGACACATCCGTATCAAAAAGTGCAACAATTAAACTTTTTTTTTTTCTTTACTATGCATAATTCAGCATTTTTTCCCCCTTTTTTTAAGTATCTTTTCTTTGTTCCTTCTGCACAATTTATTACTTTCATTATAAGTTTGATTCCTACTTTTTTTATTTTTTTTTGTTAGTTTCTTAGTTTTGAATTTCAAAATCAAGTTTGTCTAATTAATTATTTTTGTTTCTTTTGTTCCTAAGTTTTTATTGTGTTCAGGTATTCAATTCATTTCAATTTCTTCCATTAATATTTCTATGGTTCTTTTTCTTTACGGTCCAACACTATGATTCATACATATTTGTCGTCGATTTATTTTTTACATGAAAAACCTATATTTATTGGTCGTCATCGATAAATTTCAGCGAAAATAATAATATATATAATTTTTTTCTTTTTTTTTTTAAATCAAAGTGCTTTGAATATTTTATTTATAAATATATTAAATTTATTTTTGTCATAATTTAAAATTAATTTGAAACAAAGTACAAGGTTCAAGATTTTGTTTAAATAGTATTATAATATAATATTTTTAAAAAATTAATATATTTTTATTTAAAAATAATAATATCAATCTGAATTTAAAACCGTAACAAAACATATTCATTATATTTATAAAATATACACATTTAAAAATGCCAATAATTTTTCATCGACAGTCGTCGCTCACCAATTTCACATCCACAGGGCCACAGCGACGCGCGGCCGGGTTCACGATTTAGAGAACGATTTCAATTTCTGTTTGATAATAAACCGGTGAACCGGCGGTTCGGACCCACCTGAACCGATCGGGCAAGTTTACTCTCGCTGCATCGTCAAATTTGCAACTTCAGTTCCATCTACTTCTCTTCGCAGAAAGTTTGGGAGCATTTCCAGCAGTTTTGATTAGCGCCCTGCTTCTGTTTTGTTATTCCAATTCGATCTTCTTCTTGTGTTGTGGCTATAAGAGGACCAAGTGGGAGAAACAAATCTTTCAACCATTGCAGCAGGTTTTGAGAGTGTTTTAATGTTTTCGTAGTTTCTGCTCGATCTCTTTATTGATAAATTGGTTAGGAAAACCGAGGTGTTACAATCGCTTTTCTTATCTTCGAAATTAGAACAATTAAGACGAGTTTGGAATCCGTCACATTGATGCAATTCTTCCCACATTTGCAATTAGGGCTTTTCTGTGGAGTGTGTAAACTGGCGATTGTTTGCCCAAAAGAGTAGAATTATGTCGAGGAAGGAAAGCAACAGCGAGCAATTGAGGTTTAACAGAGAAGAAGAGGAAGACGATGATGATGCTGATGGCGGCGGTCTAGGTGCGTGGGAAAGGGCTTATGCAGATGAGCGGTCATGGGAGTCTCTGCAAGAGGATGAGTCTGGGCTCCTCCGACCTATTGATAACAAAACCCTTTACCACGCGCAGTATCGTCGACGTCTCCGCACTGCAACAGCTACTCGAATTCAGAAAGGACTGATTCGTTATTTATACGTCGTCATTGATCTTTCTCGGGTATCATTACAATGGTGTTCTTGTCTATGTCTATGTATTACTCTATCAAATTGGTTGCTTATAACAGCTTATAAGATTCTACTTCATTCGTACCCTTCTTAACTTGCAGGCAGCTGGAGAGATGGATTATAAACCTAGCAGAATGATTGTTGTTGCTCGACTGGTGGAACGTTTCATCCGGGAGTTTTTCGATCAAAATCCCTTGAGTCAAATTGGGCTAGTGACATTGAAAGATGGAGTTGCACATTGCTTAACAGATCTTGGTGGTAGTCCCGAGTCACATATCAAGGCTTTAATGGGAAAGTTGGCGAGCTCGGGTGATGCATCTCTCCAAAATGGCTTGGATCTTGTTCATAGCCTATTAAATCAAATCCCCACATATGGTCATCGTGAAGTTCTTATATTGTATTCTGCTCTTAGTACTTGTGACCCGGGTGATATCATGGAAACCATAAAAAAATGCAAGACGTCTAAGATCCGGTGCTCGGTTATTGGTCTTTCTGCTGAGCTATACATTTGCAAATATCTTTGTCAAGAAACTGGTGGATTATACTCTGTGGCATTAGATGAGGTGAGATATTTGTGTTACGTTATTTTCTAGATGATTTTTGCAGTGTACTATAGTAGAATAAATAAATGCGCTTGTTTTTTCGAATATATATTTGTGTATACTTCTGTTTTCATAGCTCATTTATTTCCCTAATGTTCTTATGTCAGTCTCACTTAAAAGAACTGGTCTTTGAGCATGCACCTCCGCCTCCGGCTATAGCTGAATTTGCAGTTGCAAATTTGATTAAGATGGGTTTTCCTCAAAGAGCTGCTGAAGGAGCAATTTCGATATGTGCTTGTCATAAGGAGGCTAAGGTTGGTGGTGGCTTCACATGCCCTAGATGCAAAGCACGCATTTGTGAATTACCTACTGAATGCCAAATATGTGGACTAACCCTTGTTTCATCACCTCACTTGGCAAGATCTTATCACCACTTATTTCCTATTACTCCATTTGATGATGTGCCACCATCAATGATCACTGATCTGCGCAATCTTCAAAGAAGTTGCTTTGGTTGTCAACAGAGTCTCCTCAATCCTGGTAATTGTATATTGAATGCTATTCCCTTGTTTGTATGAATGCCCTTTTGGTTCTTGTCTTGCAAATGTCCTAAATTCATCAATGCAGACACTTTATATGTTAGGGGTTTTCCGAACATGATATACACATACTGCCTTTCTGACCTTGCTAAATATAAACTGCTTTAGGATTAGAGATCATCATGATATGTTTTATTTAGACCCGGATCTCTATTCTTGCAGCTTTACATAAGATTTTGTTTTCTAAGTTATTGTTAAGTCTTATAATCTACATTTAAGGTAGACTCAATATGGTTACTTTTGTTTAAACCTTGACAATGAATTAGACATATGTTGCATCATTGAAATCTGTCTTCATTTGGTTACAGTGTGTGTGTGTGTTTTAGTGTGATAAGTTGATTTTGTTTTTCAATTTATTGGTTTATTTTCATAACATCAAAAGGTTTGGATGATTTGATGATGTATGGAAGGTAAATTTATGTAGAAACTAATACAAGGTTTTGTTTACTTATAAAAAATTAATAATTGGATAGCAAATAGATCTGAGCTTCAATAATCCAATGTATGTACATGTACACATCGTACACACACATCAGGGGCATAAATTGTTGTTCATGAAATGTTTGTGGAATATTTGTACTACTGATGTTTTAATGGTTTGGCCTCTGGGTTCTCTTCTTTCGTAAAGTCAATGACTCAATGCTATCAAAAGACTTATCATTTCATTACCTTTCATCCCTTTCATTTATTTTTACAGTTAAGTACATGGTAAGAAAATGTTTCCAGACATAACCTATATGTTCTTTAGCAGGGCATAAAACTAAAAGAATTGAATCTCCTTTCATTATATATATATATATATATATATTCGAACTGACCAATGTGGCTGTCTCTTTGTGGTATTTTGGTTATTCTTGCTTGGGTGCAACTTAGTATTGATCATGTTTGTATTCCTCAGGGTTATGTACACGACCAATTATTTTATTGACTTGGTTCGGACCTTAATTTCTGCTTTATATGGGTGCAGGAAACATCCCAGCTGCTTGTGTATCCTGTCCGAAATGCAAACAGCGCTTTTGTCTTGATTGTGACATTTACATCCACGAGAGCTTGCACAACTGCCCAGGTTGCGAGAGCTTCCGACATTCTAAATCCACTGGTGCGGAAGGGTGACCAAGATAGGACATTGCCATATTTGCTACACCTGAGACTCTAACTCAGTATAGTCGATGCGATTCTTCGCTTTGAGATTTGAGGCTGTTGGAAGCATTTATCTCTGTTGGCAGCACAGATGGAAACTCCATCAAAGGAGCATTTACAGCATACTCGGAGCATTGCCTGATCGGACATTGTACCTGAAACCTGCCATTTTTTACTCACAAATTCATTGAGGAATGTGGACTTTTGCAGGATTATTTGTTTCACATATTAAGAAGTCTAGGCCTACATCCGCATTTCTTAGTCCTTTGGAGCTTGCTTTTATAATTCTCCTGAAAGTTCAAGGAGTTGACATGGACGTTGTTCCTTAGATAAACATATATACATATATATGTATTCATGTTTGCCTTGGTTGGTTGATTTTCTTTGTTATGTAATAGGAATGGAGAGAGTTGGGAGACATTTGGTCAAATTGAATATGAATGTTCAGTGTTTGTTTAATTGTTTCTGATGTGTCTATGGAGTATGTGTTCTGTTGTGATTTCAAATTGAAGTAAAAAACATTTTTTTGATAAAAATATATATTTTTTCTAGTATAAAATATTAAATCAAAATATTATAAATAAAAATTTTAATTAATATTACATTTTAAATTATTTTTTAAAAATTAGATATTTAATGTATTGATAATAATAATTTTTCCGCTGGAAGTATTATATTTATATTTTTGTTTTTATTATTTAAAAGTATTTATTTTTTATTATAGTAAAAATAATGATACATTAATATTAAAATATCATTTAACATACTTGTATTGATAAAAAAAAAAAAAAATGCAAAATAGCTAAAAATCTCCCTATGATTTTCCGAATTAGCTGAAAAAATGCCGTTAAATTTTATCATATTTGACCGTTATACTCCTATTTATATATTTTTTAATGTATTTCTCTCTCTTCTCTTATCTCTTCTTCTCTTCTCCCCAAGAGATTCTTCTTCCCCAGTTTCTTCTTCACACACAGGTTTTTCGCAATTTTTTTCTTCTTTCTTCTCTGATTCTTTTTCACGCCCCGCAGCCTTATCCTGTTATTTCTTCTTTTTTTTTCTCTATTTTTATTTTCCTTCTTCTACATCTCTAATTCTTCTTTGAAGAATGAAGAATTGAAAAATAATAAGAAAAGAAAAGACGACCAGTAAAAACTGCTGAAGCAGGAAAGAAGGAAGGAAGGAAAGAAGGAAGAAGAAAAGAAAGAAGAAGAAAAGAAATAACCTTGTTTTTTCTTTTTTCTTTTTTCTTTCTTTCTCTTTTCCCTTGATTTTTTTTATTCTTTATTTTTTCTACCTCATTCTTCTTTTTTCCTCAATTCTTCTTCTGCAATCAACAACACCAAATTCTTTCACTTCTTTCTTAAATTGATTTCAAATCTTGATGTCAAATTGATTTCTTAGATTCTGAATTTGGTAAAACAAAAGAAGAAATCTATAATGAACAATAAATTTGGGATCGATTTCAAATTTGGTTATGCTTAGTTGATTTAAAATGAAAAAAAAAAAGAATTGAAATTAATTTTTAAAAGTACGGAGAAGAACAAGGAAGAAGAAGGAAAAGGAGGAAGATTCTGTAAAAATAGTGATTAGGATATTTTTAGTAATTTTATACAAAAATACAACCACCGTTAAATCCTAACGGATGGGAGATTTTTTTGCAATATTTTGGAAACCACGTGGAGGTTTTTTTTGGAGTTTTAGAACCAGGGGGTTTCCAGCAAATTCGAAAACCACAGAGGATTTTTTTGCTATTTTGCCAAAAAAAAAAATATTAATACCTCCGTCCCATAAAATCAACACTAATTTTCTTTTGCATCATTGTACGTAACATTAAAAATATTTTTATATTTGTATAATTTATTTGACAAATTTTATTATATCTGTATTATGAAAGACTAATATAGGTATTTTTGTCGTTTTCTCTTGATTTGTACTATGTATTGATATAATAATTAATCTTAAAAAATTAACACACAAAAAAAGTCAATGGTACTTTTCTTATGGACGGAGGTAGTATTATTTTTTTTTATCTATTACAAAACTTTCAAATAATCCATTTAGATAAGAGTGGAAGGAGTATAAAATTTTCAAAAGATTTATGTAAATATTGCTTAAAATTTTAAATTGAAATGATCATTTTTAAATTAATATATTAAATATAAATAAATATATGATAGTGAAATTTTTTCAAAGAAAAGAACATGAGAGTGCCTTTGTGTTATTGGACAAGTTGTGTAAATAAATGAGCTGTTTGAAATTAAAGATAGTTTTTCTAGAGTTTATGCAAGTTTGTTGGATGCGTTGTTGCCGGTACCATTACTATATGAAAAGATTCATAAAAAGTTTGAAAACGGCGTAGTACTCCCTTGTGTTTTCAAAAACCTCGCACACTCTCCCCTTTGATCAGTTTGACCTAACGACGTTAAATATCTTTTGTAATGGACCGTTATACCCTTCCTTTAAATAACTCACTTAACACTCCTTTCATCACTTCTCTCTCCCTAGCTTCTCTCCTATCCCTATCCACCCACACCTCTCCCCCATCACTATGCCCGACTCGAAGTTCTTCTTCCACCTACGAGAAAATCGATTACAGGTTTGAACATTGATCCAACGGCGGTGTTCTCATCAAAAATTTCATCGATTTATCATAGAAAATGGTAGCAACGAACCCAAATTCTTGTAAGTCACCGAGTTCGATCGATTTTGAATGACTTTTGTGTTAGGGCTAGGGCTTTTCGGCGTTTTTCTTTTTCTACGGTGTGGGCTTTTGAGTATTTTTCTACGGGTTTTGGACAATTTCGGGTTGATAAGTTCATCGACTTGTCATAGAAGTGGAATTCGGGGTACACCTTGTACATATGTTATGCTTTTTATACATATTGTATGGTGACCCGAAAACCCTGTCAGTGGTTGCGTCTAATTACGAAATTAATTGATTATGTTAATTGAATATTTGTTTTTTGTCTGGTTGCTGTTGGATAGTGTTTGAGGGTGGCGTGGACATATTCTAATGTCGAAAAACACATGAAAAAAAAATTAAGGGAAATGAAACCAAGGAAGAAGGTGGAAATGAAAACATCGCATCTATTTTGCAAACACCTACCTGAAAATCGGAAATTAGTGGTTGACCAGCGTCGAGGAGGGGATTCGGGGTGTTCTGGGTTTGCTTCTGTTGTGTTCGATCGATTGATAGAGAATGGTTGTACTTAATGGGAGTGGAAGGATAAACTAGGGAATTTGGGTAGTTTAAGATAAGCAACAGCAAGTCTACTCGCTTACTCCACGCGTGTATTCCACCTTCCGTTAACTTTTGTTGTTTGGGGGTTAGACGCAAGCTTTTTTAAAACACAAAGGGGTACTACACCGTTTTTAAAGTACATGGGGAAACGGCGGCGACTTTCCAAACCACAGGGGGATATAAGCAGTTTTGCCTTACATTATTTGTATATTATGTGTTGCACATACTTGAATTGTTAAATCATACATCATCTGTCCTAAGATCTATAGTATCACTTGTGTTGAGCACGGTATTTAAAAAATATTGATATTATATTGATAATTGGTAAAAAATATGAGTGCAAATTTTTTTTGCAGTTGTTAGTGTATTAGTGTAAAAGTAGTGACATATGTATAATAATAATGCAAAATTTGAGATAATTTTATGATGATATGATTATTTATGAAAATAAGCTATTATTTTGAGACGGAAAAAAATAAAAAATAAGACTATTATATTCGGACGGAAGGAGTATCAATTTAATTTCGTCTTGTTAAAATTTTTTGATTGTGTTGTTATATCACATTACAATATTTTTGTGTCATTGTAGTAATGATCAATCATTTCAATTTTTGTCGTGTTGAACTTTATTAATTGCATTATTAGAATATATCAATTTAGTTATGTGTCATTGTAACAGGGATCAATCATTTCAAATTTTATCAAGTTAAACTTTATTGATTGTATTGTTAAATCATATTAATTTAATTGTGTGTCATTGTCATAGTGATAAATTATTTCAATTTTTATCTTGTTTGAACTTTATTAATTGCATTGTTAAATCATATCAATTTAATTGTGTGTCATTGTAATAGTGATCAATCATTTCAAATTTTATCAAGTTGAACTTTATTGATTGTATTGTTTAATCATATCAATTTAATTGTGTGTCATTATAATAGTGATAAATCATTTCAATTTTTGCCTTGTTTGAACTTTATTTTGTGCATTGTTAGATCACATTATAATTTATCATTGTACTATCTAGCTTTGAACACACCTCCATTGTTATATCAGATCGTTAATAATATCATGTATGTCATCAAAATAACTTTATTATTGTACTACTTATGTACATATTTTTCAATATATTTTTTTATTATTATTCACATCATTACTATTACCATATTATATATTTCATATAATATAAACTATAAATACTCTATCTTGGTAAAATTTCTACACTACACTTCCCTTCAAAAAATATATGTAACAAACTACTTTGTTGTATAAAATAAATTTCTTTCAAACTATTTCAAGTTTTGGACTCCGGATGTGATTTCTTTTAATTTGTAAATGCAATTTCAATGTCTTCAAAATATTATCACAAACTACAAAGAGGAAAATCGATCTCGCCAAATAACATAAGTTAAGATGAATCGTGAAAAAAGGTTATAATCGTTTGTTCAACGATTATTTTTCTGAAAATTCTATATATACTGATTTTCAATTTTTCCGTAGATTTCAAATGAGAAAGCATATCTTTCTGCGAATTGTAGATCGTCTAAAAACAAAAAGTTTCAACAACGTCGAGATGCAATAGAAATGCTTGGTCTATCCCCATACAAAAATGAACGGTTATTTTACGTGTATTGGTTTTTGGTATAGTTGTTGATGTTGTAGATTATTACATTCGTATTAGAGAGAGTACAACAAGAATGTATGTAAAAAATTTGGTTTGAAAGAATCATTTCAATATTGCGTGAGAAATATTTAAGAAGGTCAAATGCAAAAGACCTACAACGATTATTATATGTTGGAGGAGAACGTGATTTTCCAATAATAATGAAAAATATTGATTCCATGCACTAGGAGTAGAAAAATTGTCGAACTGCTTGGAAAGACCAATTTTCACGTGGAGTTCATGGCAAATAAACTATCGTATTAGAATATATTGCATCGTATAATCTATGGATTTGACATTATTCTTTTGGAGCACCAGGTATATGCAAAGACATTAATATACTAGATCGATCTCCGATTTTTATAATGCCCTTTTGAATTATTATTTCAGAAGTAAATTTTTGTTAATGGTCACCAATATGGTACAAGATATTATCTTATGGATGGAATATATTCTCCATAGACGAAATTTATCTAATCTATTCATCTGTCTCAATGATCTAAAATGCAATTATTTGCACAATGTCTGCTCGAAAGGATACAAAATGTGTTA